GGGGGGGAGTCCAGTACGTATGTCTGGAGGTGTCCAGTACGTATGTTTGGAGGAGTCCAGTACGTATGTTTGGAGGTGTCCAGTACGTATGTCTGGAGGTGTCCAGTACGTATGTCTGGAGGAGTCCAGTACGTATGTTTGGAGGTGTCCAGTACGTATGTCTGGAGGAGTCCAGTACGTATGTCTCGAGGTGTCCAGTACGTATGTCTGGAGGAGTCCAGTACGTATGTCTGGAGGAGTCCAGTACGTATGTCTGGAGGAGTCCAGTACGTATGTCTGGAGGAGTCCAGTACGTATGTTTGGAGGTGTCCAGTACGTATGTCTGGAGGAGTCCAGTACGTATGTCTGGAGGAGTCCAGTACGTATGTCTGGAGGAGTCCAGTACGTATGTCTGGAGGAGTCCAGTACGTATGTCTGGAGGTGTCCAGTACGTATGTCTGGAGGAGTCCAGTACATATGTCTGGAGGAGTCCAGTACGTATGTCTGGAGGAGTCCAGTACGTATGTCTGGAGGAGTCCAGGGGGACCCGGGTTCGGACCTCTCATCATGATCCAGTCCAGTAAGTAGGTACTGGACTGGAACGTTAATGACAACGTATAATGAACGTGGCGGATTGTGAGCCTCAGGGTGTTGATGGTGAGAGGAGTGCCAACAAGAAGGGCCAACCCTCGGGCCAATAGTCCTGGCACTCTTGCCTCTTCATTCCAATCCTCACATGCGAGAATGTAATTATGCCAGCTGGGCATATGTGCACGTACAGCATCTGCATTACCCTCTCAGGTGCTCTCTTGGGGCATGGGGAGGGGGGGGAGGGAGGGAGGGAGGGAGGGAGGGAGGGAGAGAGAGAGAGAGAGAGAGATGGAGAGAGAGAGAGAGAGAGAGAGAGAGAGAGAGAGAGAGAGAGAGAGAGAGAGGGAGGGAGGGACGTGAGGGAGGGGGTAGACAAAAACATGAAGGAAATTTAAAGTGTTTGTTGTTTTTGTTGACGCAATATGTGCGTGCGTATTGTGTGTGTGTGTGTGTGTGTGTGTGTGTGTGTGTGTGTGTGTGTGTGTGTGTGTGTGTGTGTGTGTGTGTGTGTGTGTTATGTGTTTTTCTACGACCTGCGGCTTTCCAGAGTCGTGAGATTTCCGAAGCTGACCTTGTATCTCATGTCTCTCAGCTCTGGGACTGGTCTGGTGGCGACCTTCTTGACTTTCTCAAGTTCAGAGCCACAATTTAGACCTATTGTCCTATGATCCTTTGTCCTGTGAGGCAGTGAATATGAGTACCAATTGAATTTCTCAAATTAAGGAAACTTGCATATTAATTGTATCAGTAAAGATGTTAAATAACTACCTAGGTTTGCTTTCCCCATCTTTCGGTTACCTATCGATGATTCCGAGGATCAGCGTCCCCCATGGCCCGGTCTCTGACTAGGCCTCCTAGCTGGCAGGTGGTCTGGTCAACCAGGCTGTTGGACTGCTCCCAACCCTGACCATGGATCACAGAACGAATACTTATTCGTTGTCTCGCTTTCTTTTAGTTTGACATTAGCCGCAAAATTTTCGTCCATATCCGCAGTGCAACAACGCTTTCTGTAGCGTCTTGAAGTTCTGTGTTAGAATTTTATTTATGACTTTTGGTCTGACTTTTTGGTCTGACTTTTTGGTCTGACCAATACTTTTGGTCTGACTTTTTGGTCTGACCAATACTTTTGGTCTGACTTTTTGGTCTGACCAATACTTTTGGTCTGACTTTTTGGTCTGACCAATACTTTTGGTCTGACCAATACTTTTGGTCTGACTTTTTGGTCTGACCAATACTTTTGGTCTGCCAGTATTGGTGGGTGAGGGACTCTTGGTCCTCTTGTCATCCCCTCGCCTGATGTTGGCCGATGGTGGCTGTGGGTGTTGGTGTGGTGGTGATATCTGTTGATGTTCATTTATTAGGTCAATAAGCTCTGTAACCATAATAATACCCCCAGGCCGGATAATGCTGCAGCCATTACCAAACAGTAAACAGATCTGAGGGTGTATGGTAGAGGCCAAGCCTCCAGATTCAGCACCGCTCCTGTGCCGGGTAAGTCCACTACGAGCTCACCATAGCCCGTGCTACTTGGATCTTGTTCAGAGTAGCTGAATCTATAACAACAACAACCAAGCCTGCCACCCTCCACTCCTGGCCGTCTGGTCCCTACTGGAACATCACAACAGACGTCCGCAATAAGAATTGGCTCCTAATAACCCATTCGCGTTAAAGGGCCAATAAAAAGGAGTTTATTCCTTTACAGTTTAGGAATATAATCATGGGGAAGGGGGATAGAGGGGGTGGGTGGCATGGTATGGTGGCGTGCTTACCTGGTGGATACCTGGTACCTATGAGTGTTTACTGGGTAGTGAGCTTCAGTTCTTCATGCCCCGCCTTCTGGTATTATCGTACCGGTTAGAAGGGCGATGAGAAAGCAGCCGGTTAACCTATAGTGGTTATATAGATGTTAATCTTCTTGTTTGAGGAGCTGTTCACTTGAGACAGTTAAGCAAGTCCCAGCTGTGTCTGGGTACAAGTGACAGGATGAACAACCCAGCGGGTTTTCTTCCTATTGGGGAGTGTTGTAAATATTGCTATGGTGGTATGTCCACTCACAGGATGAGTGGCGCTGCCCAATAAACTCGCCCCTCGGGGCAAAATTTACAAAAATTAAGTATGTTTTTGTTTATATAGGATTAGATATAGATTTGTATTTGTATATAATTTTTCATGGGCATATTATTCAATTACTTATCTCATACGATAATGCCTTGTGATTTGTTTCAGTTTTACGCTTTTAAAATTATGTTTGATATGATTGTTATGTTTGAGAGGTTGTCACGTAGTGTGTGTTCCACAGCGTAGTGAGACGACGGGGTAAAAACTCCTCCGCCAACGATCGCTTCTAGTTTGGTTGGTCAGTATTAAGAGGTAATCAAGTGAAGGCGACTTGCTCCCAAACTTCACTCCCGTTCTCTAATTAAATTGCTCGCTTGAGGCTATCTCTCTCCTACTCCCTCTCTCCCTTCCCCTCCTCCCTCGCTCTGCCTCTCTCTCTCTCTGATTCACTACCCCTTCCTTTCTCATTCTACTCTCTCTCTCTCTCTCTCTCTCTCTCTCTCTCTCTCTCTCTCTCTCTCTCTCTCTCTCTCTCTCTCTCTCTCTCTCTCTCTCTGGTTCACTACCCCTCCCTCTCTCTCTCTAGTTCACTACCCCTCCCTCTCTCTCTCTAGTTCACTACCCCTCCCTCTCTCTCTCTCTCTCTCTCTCTCTCTCTCTCTCTCTCTCTCTCTCTCTCTCTCTCTCTCTCTCTCTCTCTCTCTCTCTCTCTGGTTCACTACCCCTCTCTCTCTCTCTCTCTCTCTCTCTACCTCTCTCTACCTCTCTTTACCTCTCTCTACCTCTCTCTACCTCTCTTTACCTCTCTTTACCTCTCTCTACCTCTCTCTACCTCTCTTTACCTCTCTCTCTACCTCTCTCTACCTCTTTCTCTCTTTCTACCTCTTCTCTCTCTCTCTCTCTCTCTCTCTCTCTCTCTCTCTCTCTCTCTCTCTCTCTCTCTCTCTCTCTCTCTCTCTCTCTCTCTCTCTCTCTCTCTACCTCTTCACGCCTCAGTCTGCGTCTAGTTTGTCTACATTTTTATGATAATGCATTTTTCATTTGGTGTGCTGAAATTTTATTTTATTTAATTGGCTTAACACAGTTTAGCCGCAGCGCGTTGTTACCATATTCGCTCTTTGATAATGGCAATATTGTTGAAAACTGATTTAATCATTCACTTGTTTGACCGGAGATTCGAACTAGGGCCTCAAAAGTGCGAGACCGTTGTCCAACCACGTGATTGAAATGTTATCACCAACGCAATTGGGGTTTGTATCTTATTATAGCAAGTAAGGTAACAGGTTATATATAGCAAGCATGGTAACAGGTTATATATAGCAAGCATGGTAACAGGTTATATATAGCAAGCATGGTAACAGGTTATATATAGCAAGCATGGTAACAGGTTATATATAGCAAGCATGGTAACAGGTTATATATAGCAAGCATGGTAACAGGTTATATATAGCAAGCATGGTAACAGGTTATATATAGCAAGCATGGTAACAGGTTATATATAGCAAGCATGGTAACAGGTTATATAGCAAGTTTTATATAGCATGGTAAACAAGCAGGTGACAGGTTAGACAAAATATTGCTTGTTTCATTGTGAATTCTAAATCAAAATATTATGGGATATATTTATGTATTTAAAGCAAGATAACGAGAAGTAATGTGGCCATTTAACGCACGGGTTTTAAAAGAAAACTTTGATAAACACCTCCAAAAGAGTTCCCGATCAACCAAGTTGTGACTCGTACGTCAGACTGCGAGCAGCTGCATCTAACAGTCTGCTTGATCAGACTAACCAACCAAGAGACCTGGTGTGAGACACGACCGTAGGGATCTTGATCCTCGGAACCACTTCAAGGTAACTTTAATGTAGTTTTGTACTTCAGAATTTGATGTTGGATTTCAATGCTAAGCCACAATTAATAGAGGGCATTACTGGCTATAAACTCCACGTAACAAGGCATATATTACACTAATTACTTTATTGTTAAATGAGTCTAGCCAATTCGTGCAGAATAAAATTTTACCATAAAGGGATAACGGCAAATGGTAATCAAAGCAGTTATTTATAGAACGACCTGGTTTGTCTTATCCGGGTATGGGGTGCATAATAAATAAATGACTCTGAATCTGGCCTCTTGTTCTCCTGGTTTGTCTTAATGGGGGTCTCGTATGCTCCTGGGTCGTCTCGGGTGCTCCTGGGTCGTCTCGGGTGCTCCTGGGTCGCTCCGTATGCTCCTGGGTCGTCTCGTATGCTCCTGGGTCGTCTCGTATGCTCCTGGGTCGCTCCGTATGCTCCTGGGTCGTCTCGTATGCTCCTGGGTCGTTCTAGGTCGCTCCGTATGCTCCTGGGTCGTCTCGTATGCTCCTGGGTCGTCTCAGGTGCTTCTGGGTCGCTCCGTATGCTCCTGGGTCGTCTCGTATGCTCCTGGGTCGTTCTGGGTTGCTCCGTATGCTCCTGGGTCGTCTCGGGTGCTCCTGAGTCGCTTCGTATGCTTCTGGGTCGCTCCGTATTCTCCTGGGTCGTCCCGGGTGCTCCTGGGTCGTCCCGGGTGCTCCTGGGTCGCCCCGTATTCTCCTGGGTCGTCCCGGGTGCTCCTGGGTCGTTCCGGGTGCTCCTGGGTCGTTCCGGGTGCTCCTGGGTAGCCCCGTATGCTCCTGGGTCGTCTCGTATGCTCCTGGGTCGTCTCGTATGCTCCTGGGTCGCTCCGTATGCTCCTGGGCATAGAGCCTGGTGTTCCTGAGAGGCCCAGCCTCCCTCGCCTGAATACTGATGGACTACCACCTCTCTCATTACACCTTTGTGTGGGAAATAGAGGGAGCTGGAGCTAGTTACTAATTAGTTTATCTAAGGATTGATGCTGCATATGCTCTGATGGCGAGAGAAGCCGTGGTTCACAGCGATGCTGTGGTGACGATGGTTACAGCATCAGTGTCTGTTGGGATGACTATGCATCAGTATTGGGATGATTACAACGTCAGTGTTGGGATGACTACAGCGTCAGTGTTGGGATGATTACAGCATCAGTGTTGGGATGATTACAGCATCAGTGTTGGGATGACTACAGCATCAGTGTTGGGATGACTACAGCATCAGTGTTAGGATGATTACAGCATCAGTGTTGCGATGATTACAGCATCAGTATCTGTCGGGGCGACTACAGCATTATTGTGTGACCGTTTGGATGACAACAGAATGTTTGGATATCATACTTTCCTGATATCCTTAAGTAAGAAAGAATAACTCCAGTTCATAAAGGGGTGATACAGCTGATATCTTACAATTACAGACCAATATCACATCTACCGATACTATCAAAAAACATTTGAAATAGTTATTTACAAACAACTCTACTCCTAACTTGTAAAATTCAACATATCAAGTCCCTGCCAGTTTGGTTTCTGTTCCCAGAAGAGTACCAGTGAGGCCATTATTTAGTTTGCTTAATATAATTTACACAGACCTTGATATAATTGAGTTCCCAGTTGACCTCTTCATTGACCTGAGAAAGGTTTTTGATACTGTAAACCATAACTACCTCTTACTTAAACTTCATCACTATGGAATCCTAGGCCTTGTTCTGAACTATATTAGATCATATTTTAATGATAACAATACGTAGCCATCAAGGACCTAACCTCCCCCACTCTACCATTTTTTTTTATTATTATTTTCTACCACAGACGTGGCCACACATTTACAATGCAAACCAGAATATATATATTTTCTTCTGTTCTCCATGGACAGGGTTAGAGATGTGTTAAACATATAGTTCAGTTGATTGTTCAATAATAAACTCTACTATTAACCGTAGGAGTTCCACAAGGCAGCATCTTAGGGCCTCTTCTGTTTCTTATATACATCAATGATTTTGGCTAATGTCTCTAACATTCTTAAACCTATACTATTTGCTGACGATACTATCTTCATCTACTCAGACCCCGAACCCACACACACACTAAATAATATTGTAAATAACGAATTAAAATCCCACTCGTGGATGTCAACCAACTCAACACTAAACATAGAAAAGATTTGGTAAATTTTATTTGGAAGTAAATCGTCAAATCAAATTCACATTCAGATAGACAATGTTAACATTAGCAATAAAAATGATGGAAAATTCTTTGGCCTATACATAGACAAGAGACTAAACTTCACCACCCACACACATCACATAGCCAGAAAAGTCTCAAAAACTATCGGTTTACTCTCTAAAATCGTATATTCCACTCTCTGGTGAAATATATGATTTTAGAGAGTATACTCCTTTCGCTATACTGTCTATACTATAAAGGACTCCTCTCTTTTTTCGCTATACTACTCGCTATTCTATCCTTATCAAATCTGTGCATGGAGTTCGAGCACTGAAAATTATCTCAATCCCATCATCACCCAGCAAAACCCTGCTATCAGAATGATAACAAACTCAGTCTCCCGATAACACACAGCCCCTCTGTTTAAATCCCTAAAGATGCTGCACGTACACTCCCTCCACACATACTCTTGTGCTACTTACATACACAACACCTTGTTCCTAAATGCTAATCCTGATTTGAAACGCTTCCTTGATATAATAGAACCCATTAGCACCACACCAGATATAAAGATCTCATTATTACAGGAGTAATAACCCCCAACAGGAGTAATAAACACCAACAGGAGTAATAACCCCCAACAGGAGTAATAAACACCAACAGGAGTAATAAAACACCAACAGGAGTAATAAAACACCAACAGGAGTAATAAAACACCAACAGGAGTAATAAAACACCAACAGGAGTAATAAAACACCAACAGGAGTAATAAAACACCAACAGGAGTAATAAAACACCAACAGGAGTAATAAAACACCAACAGGAGTAATAAAACACCAACAGGAGTAATAAAACACCAACAGGAGTAATAAAACACCAACAGGAGTAATAAAACACCAACAGGAGTAATAAAACACCAACAGGATTAATAAAACACCAACAGGAGTAATAAAACACCAACAGGAGTAATAAACACCAACAGGAGTAATAAAACACCAACAGGAGTAATAAACACCAACAGGAGTAACAAAACACCAACAGGAGTAATAAAACACCAACAGGAGTAATAAACGCCAACAGGAGTAATAAAACACCAACAGGAGTAATAAAACACCAACAGGAGTAATAAAACACCAACAGGAGTAATAAAACACCAACAGGAGTAATAAAACACCAACAGGAGTAATAAAACACCAACAGGAGTAATAAAACACCAACAGGAGTAATAAAACACCAACAGGAGTAATAAAACACCAACAGGAGTAATAAAACGCCAACAGGAGTAATAAAACGCCAACAGGAGTAATAAAACACCAACAGGAGTAATAAAACACCAACAGGAGTAATAAAACACCAACAGGAGTAATAAAACACCAACAGGAGTAATAAAACACCAACAGGAGTAATAAAACACCAACAGGAGTAATAAAACGCCAACAGGAGTAATAAAACACCAACAGGAGTAAAAGAACACCAACAGGAGTAATTAAAAACTAGTTCATAGGACATAATAAAACGCCAATATGGTCAATAAAACCTGTAACCAACAGGTTCTCGCCAGCGTCCCCAACGTCCAGAAACTGTCGTACTAAAGTGCCTTTATCCTAACCTATCTGAGGACCCAAAACAGAAAACGGGACAATGTCAATTTCGCAAGATTCATCTGCCATTTTCTGGTACGACTGTTTTTGGTCTGAGGTAAGAGTGTACGTCAAAATACGACGTTCTATTAGGAGGTCGGGTTGAACAAATACACGTTTTATATATATATGTTTATATATATATATATATATATATATATCTATATATATATATATATATATATAATATATATATATATATAATATATAATATATATATATTATATATATATATATAATATATAATATATATATATATATATATATAATATATATATTATATATATATATATATTATATATATTATATAATATAAATTATTTTTGTACTTGTGTTTGATAATTTTAGTTTTATTTCACATATTGTATGATGAATCAGATTAAATTTTATATTTTCTTAATGTATTTGCTTTATTTCTGCTTGTATAAGTACTTGGCTGTCACTTTTGACTAGTAATTATATATTTTGACCGCTTGCGAGGGGTAATTAATTCTAAGTGGTAATAGGTCCTTTACCCATTCTTAAGTGGTAGTGGGTCCCATTATCCAGAAGGGTAATGGCCTCCTTACCCATCCTGGGAATGCTAGTGGAAATGGCTACACAAGGTACATTTATAATGAGCTCAATCCCAAAATTCGTTTAGATAAGTGACAACGTTGATGAGTTAGTTACTACGTTCATTAACCTGGAGCCGGTCGGCCGAGCGGACAGCACGCTGGACTTGTGATCCTGAGGTCCTGGGTTCGATCCCAGGCGCCGGCGAGAAACATTGGGCAGAGTTTCTTTCACCCATATGCCCCTGTTACCTAGCAGTAAAATAGGTACCTGGGTGTTAGTCAGCTGTCACGGGCTGCTTCCTGGGGGTGGAGGCCTGGTCGAGGACCGGGCCGCGGGGACACTAAAAAGCCCCGAAATCATCTCAAGATAACCTCAAGATAACCTATACATCAACAGGTCATCTCCTCACAGTTTACGAGACCAGCAAGAAGCTCTATAATTAACAAGTGAGAGTTTTTGAGTTCACTGTGGGACCATTTGTGCCTCTTGTGAGCGACTGGCAGAAAGGTTACGGTCTCACATAATGGATTCATTGATCTTTAAACTAAACTGTTTACAACTGGTGAACTATTTAAACTATTTACCTGTTATTTAACATTTGTTTATCATGCACCCCACACCCTGGTAACGAGAGGGGGGGTGGGGGGGCGGAGGTAAGGTTACAATCATTCACTACCAATACTGGGATGCTCTCGGACGTAGGTTCGAATCCTCGTCACGGCCCTTGGGGATTTGTTCATTCACTACCAAGTACGCATATTTGGGCTGGTAGATATGTACTTCCGGTAGTATATCATTCTGAATAAAATACACATTTCATTCAGAATGATATACATATTTTGAACGTGCTTACCTATGAGTGATTACTGGGCAGTGAACAATTATGGAACGTTCAATACATATTTTGAACGTTCCATAATTGTCTCAGGTTTCTACAATCATTCGGATAAGTCCTTACGCGGTGGAAAATAAAGTAAAAATAATAAAAAACAATTTAGGTATCCTAATAGACTTTTCTCTCTGCTGCAGGTATGGTGTCTCCTGGTGGCTCGGGTCTACGGCGTCGCCTATTGGCTGGTGGCCCTGTGTCGTCACGCTCCGGCTGGCATTGATTGGTCGCTGATGCTACCACAACAAGTATTACCAATTCCTCTCATTCGTGGCTTGCTTGTTTACACTCATTTTGTGTGCGTGTGTCGTTGGGTAAGGTGGATTGGGCGTGACAGTTGCTCCGGGGGATTAGCCGATTGACTGGGAAAATGGCTTGGCCGAAACTATTCTGGGAAACTTTTTTATTTGTTTTGTTTAAATAAATTTGCAAAGTTGAATGGCTCTTTTTGTGTCTATACGTCTGTGTGTGTGTGTGTGTGTTTGGTGTGTGTGTGTGTGTGTTGTGTGTGTGTGTGTGTGTGTGTGTTTGTGTGTGTGTGTGTGTTTTTGTGTGTGGTGTGTGTGTGTGTGTGTGTGTGTGTTTGTGTGTGTGTGTGTGT